ACAACTGGTATATGGAACAATAGCCATTGGTAACTAAGAATCCTACACACAATTATGTATTAAAAGATTGTAATATAATTTTTATCTAAATTTCTTTCGAATAAATATCGTAGATAAAAAGTTTGCCAAAATATGCAAACCAATTTAATATGAACAAAGATGGATAGTAGCTAGCGGTAGAATCTAAGACGTGCATTGCATTCTATTTTGGACTCGTCAGCTGAATGTACTTGAATCTCAGGGTTGATGTTCACTTCAATTCCAAAACAGAATTAAACGCACGTCCTGGATTCCATTGCTAATCACTATCAATCTTTGTTTATAAAACTTGTGACTTAAAGCAATATCGAGGGAGTCCACATAAGATGCTAATATACAAACAAGAAACTGATAAATTGCAGTCCTGAACAACAATCGAGAGATACGAGCAAACAATACCAAGTTGATTTAATATGAATAAAATCTGTGTCTAAGATATATTTGAACAAATTAGAAAATTCACCAAAAATACGAAACAACGCCATCTATTTACTTATTATATATTCGTATAAGGTTGTGGAGATTGCTGAGTTTCAATTGATATCATGAATGGATGAATATTAGACCACTGTTGAAAACCTGCAAGCACTGATAACATGCACTCACTAGTGATCGACTTCAAAAGGTATTTCCTGGAGTTCTAGTGAGAAACCTTGACCAGTGGAGTTCAACCGTGTCTGTTGAAGAGGCGATTACTCACTGAAGACAATGGTGGACGATCGCACAATATCGTAGATTGGTTAACGTTAGACATTAACACCGTTGGATGCTGGTCAGCTTAGTGGTCTAGAGGTTAAGCTTTCGTCTTTGGTTCGAGTTTCTTTGGTGTGTGATTGTGAATGCGCACTACTGTGGAATTCCATACTAGAACGAAATGTCTGTTCAGTGCTTTCAAGTTTTTAATGCTGGTTTAACATTTATCTATTCATTATATAAATTGAAAAATATTATGTTTAGAAACTTTATTTTTCTATATAATCTATTCATAAAGAGAACGAATTCTAGTGAGATCTATTCATAGATAAATCAATTAGAATGTACTGATGATGAAGTTCCATGAATCAGTCAATGTTGACAATTAACACATCAAATATAATCTCATTCATTTCTTCACATATAATAATAAATACATTTATCTTGATAGAGTTTTGTTCTTTGAGTTGAATGGTTTGGTCGTGGAGCTTTCATCATTCTTCTGAACGACATCATCAGCACAAACTTCAGGTTATCATTAGCATATATCATTACATTTTATTACTTGTCTAGATGAGATTATACAACTTATGTTAATAAAAGTAAATTATGTTTCATTAATAAATTTTGATAGTGCGATGAGAAGATGAAGTTTATCAGAATTATGTAATATATTTGTGTAATACATTTCGAACAATCTGATCATACATAATATACTTGCTAAGAATATTTATATATGAAAACTAAAAAGGTCAACTAGACAGGTTAAAGGTAAGCCGAAACAGCAATTTGTCCCTACCCTGGTAATACTGATTTATTATCCAGAGTGATTATCACATTGTTTTACTGTACTTTATTTTTTTTATACATCTAGCTGACGAGTCCCGAATTGGACGAAACGCGCATCCTAGATTCCACTGCTAGACACTATTCATCTTTGCTTAAAAAGCTTATGAATTAAGGCTATATCAAGGCGATCCGCACAGGATGCACGTATGCCAATACGAGACTAATCAATTGCACTCCTAAATAACAGTGGGAAGATATAAGTTAAACAACACCAAGTGAATTTAAGCTTCACTCCGTTGCATAAACAGGTGGCTATCAGGACTTAGTAACTAAGTAGATAACACGATGGTGTTTGAAGTGAACTATACTGGATTCGAGTCCCGAAGTGAACATCAACTCTGCGATGCAGGTACATCCAGCTGACGAGTCTTAGATAGGATGGAAAGCGCGTCTTGAATTCTACTGCTAGCTATTATTTATCTTTGCTTAAAAAGCTTGTAACTTAAGATTATATCGAGACAATCCGCACATGATGAACATATACTAACAAGAAACCGATAAATTGCAGTCCTAAACAACTATCGGAAGATACAAGCAAACAATATTAAGTGAATTTACCTTTAATCCGTCTAGTTGATCTTTTCAGTTTTCATATATAAATGTTCTAAACAAGTATATTATGTGTGATCAGATTATTTGAAATATATTACGTAATTATATAACATAATTCCGATAAACTTTATCTTCTCATTGCATTATCGGCATTTATTTATGTCAATTTGGTGTTTCATGTAGTTTAGACAATGTTGTAACATTTAATATAAAAATGAAACTAATTGAATATTTCAATTATTTAAATGAAGTTAGTTTAACAGTTTCTGTAATTCGTTGTATAGACACTTTGATGATACTGTATTGTTTTTATATATTACTGATGATGTAACAATCACATGGTTTATATATTGTTATGCATAAGAATCTTAGTTTAGAAAAAAGAATATTCATATATATGGGAACAGAAAACATTTCATAAATATCCTTTTATTTTTAGATGTAAAAAAACCTCCCAGTGATATCTGGACAATTGTAAGTTACATGAACCTTAATTTTATCTGTATACTTGTTAAGTTTTAATTTCTTAACACTATTTTGTGGGAAGAGTCAGCTCTCCGCCTCCAGATGCTCTTACACAGCCACGTGTATACAGCCACCACCAGTGAAGTGCCACTCACCGCTTTCTCGCGACGGGGTGTTGTTTACGAAATTCAGAGGACGAAAAACGGATGTCCAGCGTTTAACCTGGGTTGATGAATATGAAGGATCCATTGAAGGGAGTTGGAAAACCTTTGTTCTAAACCAATGGTGCACATGGGCCCTAGGGTCCTAAAGGAAAACTGGAGTATGAACCAATTATTGGTCACCGGCTACCATATGACGTTGTGGACCAGACTTTTAGGTCGAAGGCTCGGGGTGTGACCCTCAAAAAAACCACCTGCTTTGCTTCGGGCACCTGAGCACTTTCATAGCTTTCACATAAATCAATGATAACTAGTACTGACCTCATTGTTATTGTGCGGTGCACATGTATTTGGTGCCCCCTTGTACCAACGTTTATGTGTTCAAATAAATAAATAAATAAAACTTTGTAACTAACATTCACCTATAAACAGAAATGAAAGGATTCTATAAAGCCGTAAGGTAAATAGATTACATTTCGGTTAGTTTTTTATTCAGTCAGTAATGAGCAACATAAAACTTGACACACGTTCAGATCAACCCAAGCTTCCACAGCACCTTTATGTAACGATATAAAATTTTAGAGCATTAGTAGTCTCAGTGGTGGTTAATAAAGCTATGCTACAGAAAATGTGACTTATGAAGGAAGAATTAACTGAAGATATAAAATGTATGAAATAATTTCGAAACTCAGGATTATGGAATAAACAAAATAAGGATGAATTAATGTTATTGAAAATAGTTTAGAGCCATATCACTCAACATTTCTAGCCATTATAGGTATTTATTTTATTGATCCTAACCATAAGAACGGGGGAAATCGAATGTATTCGAACACACAAAATTACATGATCTCTTAGCAACATCTGAGACATACTCAATTACGCCTGTTACTCTCAACGGAGCATAAGCCGACGACCAACATTCTACAACCCACTCTATCCTGAGCATTCCTTTATAGTTCTCATATCTGTCTCCATTTGTCGACGCAATTTGTTTTTCGGTCTTCCTCTCCTCCTTTGGCCTTGAGGATTCTGAGTGACGGCTTGCCTTGTGGCACAGTTGAGAGCTTTCTTCAATGTGTGTTCTATCCACTTGCTGATTTCTTCCTCCACTGGAATCTGCTTTGTTCTCTCTCCCACAGTAGGTTGTTACTGATGGTGTCTGGCCAATGGATCCGATGTATTTTGCGTGTACAACTGTTAATAAACACTTGTATCTTTTAGATGATGGGTTTCGTAGTTCTCCAAGTTTTCGCTTCATACGGTAGAACTGTCTTGACATTTGTACTGACCTTAGTGTTGGCTAACAGACAATTGTTTTGAGTTTCATATGTTCTTCAATTGTAGATATTCTGCCCTTACCTTGTCGATCCGCGCCTTCACATCTGCACCAGATCCACCGTGTTCATCAATGATGCTGCTCAGATATGTAAAGGTTTTTACATCCTCCAGAGATTCTCCGTCAATTGTGATCCGACTGGTGCATGCTGTATTGTATCGGTAAATCTTGCTTTTCCGTTTATTTATGTTGAGACCGATAAAACCTGAGAACTATACGGTAAATACCTTATTTGCAAAATACCAATCAATTGTCTCAAACTTCATAGTTCCTTCGTTCTCTGATAGACATTTCACTTTCCATTCATGATACATACTACTTATATCTGTCAATATCAGTAGCACACATCATATTATAACTATTAATCTAACAAAGATTAATCAAAATTTCAATTAATTATATTTTAATATTTGTAATCTAATCGAATTATCAAGACTAGATTATCAACGTTAACGTTTAAGTAGAATCACTCACTTTACCAATTATTTTTATAAGAATGAATATTAACAATTCATTTGAATTTATACAAATGTTAGAATGAATAATTTGACACAAATTGGGTATCAAGTATAGAAAAGTCATTAAATGTGAAATAAACATATATATATATGTATATATGAAACAATCTCAGTCATTGAAATGTAAAATAATTCCAGTGTTTCGTCCAACAAATTTATCTGAACCTCTTCAGGACAATAATAATAAGAAGAATCCAAATCAAGATTATCAAACTAATATCTAGTGTTTTAGCAATCAAATCAAATCTATATTGTGCTAATTTAATCCTATTTAGATGCTGATTTTAGTTAATAGAATAACATGAGCTAGTTAAATGCGAATGATGTGAAAAGTTCACATTATGAAAATAAATGACTGAAACCGATTGTCTGTGTCTGTGTTTGTGTGTGTGTAAGATGAGTTATTAATAGTTGTTATTTGGTGTCAAAATTGTTTCTACATATATATACGAAGGCAAAAATAAAAGTGCAAGTTAAAAATTGAAAAAAAAGTTTTTTTTTCTTTTTAAATCATTGATATCTATATAAAATCAGAAATATCAATTACATAATTTTCACATTTTTGTATTATTTCAAATCTTATTGGATTTTCATCGTATAAGTTAAAGGAAAATAAGTTTTTCTTTTTTTTCGATTTTTTGTTTTTGTTTCTAGTTCAAAATGAAAAAAAAATCAAAATTGATTGCTTTTTTTGTATTTTACATTAGTAACTATGGAATAATTGTGATCAAATAATTTATATTTATAACCATAGTGATAATTTATCATATTTATACATTTATTTATTTATTTTTTATTATATTATGAAATATTAACAAAATAAAAGATCATTAATTAATGAATGATTAAATTGATGTTGAAATGTACCAGTTATTGGTGTATAAGTTTGTTCACGTTTTATAAATAAACGACAACTTTTCCATGGCATTGTATATTTACCCCATTGTATTTGATAACGTATTAATTGACATAAACCATATTGACGTAAAACATGATATAAATGTCTTTCAATATGACCAAATGTTTTATCATATTTATCAATAAACCATATTTCTTTAATTTGTCCTTTACCATTATATAAACGTGATTTTTTTAATATATAACCATCTTTTTCAGTCATACATCTTGGTTCACCAAGAAATGGTGTTTGTAAACAACGTATACTATCATTTGGACATAAATGATTTATAATAATTGAATTATCTGTATTATTAATACTACAAAATTCTGTTGAATATACATTTCTACCAACAACTAATAATGCATTATTAAATGATCCATCTAATTTATGACTAATATGAAATGCACCATGATCTAAACGACTTAAATAACGACCACCTTTAATTGTTTGTACAAGAAAACGTGCTCTCCATGTATTTGGTAAACAACATGGTTTAGAATTTTGATTGATTAACATTATTGTTTGTTGATCAAGATTACGCAATCTACGTGGTGAATTTACATGACATGTATTAAGGAGATTAGATAATTTTCTTGTTTGTATACTGATATCTTTAAATATTGATATAATTAATATAAAATAACATAATTTCTTCATTATAATAAAATATTAAATAAAATTTAATTATATAATTTATTATTTATTATATTCATATTATGAAATCATTGTATCTATGTAGTTTGTTTCATTATATTCATTATAAATTATAAATGTAATTCATTCAATTACACCTACATACTCTTACCTAATTGTTAACCTTTCTCAAGGTCATTTAATTGAACTTAATCTTTAACCAATCAAATAAATCATAAAATGAAATATGATAGGTTATTTAAATATACAAACCAGCAATGACTGTAACTATTTAGATAGTTTTTTTTTTCCTCTTGAACATACCATATATTATTTTATAATTTAAGAAATTTTTTTATTCATAATATAAGGATTAACTAGATATTTTGTGCTTAAATTGTTAGTAGTTAGACTGGTATGAATCTTTGCATGACATGAATTTCATGCAGATTGAAACTTGCTATTACAGTATATCTGGGATTTTCAGGAAAATGATATTCCCTAATGGATTAAGAACCTAAAAACATCTCATTTTATAGTGTGAGATGTTATAATTAGAATGTTAGATGGTGGGTGAAGGTAGTCAACAGTACTATTTGGCACTCGTCAGCAAGATGTACCTGTAGTCTTGAGGGAACTGCTGCTTCCTGATGGATTCAATCTCATGCCACATAGCTTCAACAGTGGCGACGGGTTTTACAACCAACAATTCCAATTACCTTTAAACAAATAGAAACTTTGCTGGAACGTCAAGGAAAACGATATGAACAGTTCCAGGAGCGTATTCTGGAGATGTTAGCGAAACAAATGAATCTGAATAACAGAGGTCTAACTGATGATCCACATAATACGCATACGAACTCGATAATTAATTCCATTCAGGAATTTCATTTTGATGGCCTAGCTGGTGTGACTTTTGAGTCTTGGTTCAAGAAGTATGAATATTTGTTCAAGGTAGATCTCAACAAACTGGATGACGCTGCCAAGGTCAGAATACTCTTGAGAAAGCTTGGCACGATTGAACATGAACGTTATAGTAATTTCATCCTCCCAAAGAATCCAAGAGATTTTTCTTTTGATGCAACAATCGAAACTCTGACACAAATCTTCGCTGAACAATCATCTCTCTTCAATATTCGTTATCAATGCCTCAAAATAACGAAGTCAAGTGAGGATGATTGGGTAAAACATGCCTGCCTAATAAACCGTGAATGTAAACGATTCAAACTATCATCAATGACGGAAGACCAGTTTAAGTGCCTCGTATTTGTGTGTAGCCTACAATCTCCCGAAGATGCTGATATAAGAACCAGAATCTTAAGCAAAATTGATCAGTGCCCAAACATCTCACTACAAGAAATAACTGCAGAGTGTCAGAGATTAGTAAATTTGAAACATGATACCTCCATGATCGAGAACAATAGCCGGCCGTCATACGTGCATGCTGTTAGTGAAAAGAAAGACTCCGGCTCACAAAAACCATACAGCACAGACAACCAGCCCTCATCTCCTTGCTGGTCATGTGGAGGTTGGCATTACAAGAAGTTTTGTCCATACAAAGAATATTTCTGCACTAAATGTCAAAAAAAGGGTCACAAAGAAACCAGATGTATAAATAAAACTCGCAGACGTTACTCTTCACAAGTCTATTCCAAGAAATACAGATCTGGTAAGAAAACGAACAAAATATTAGTATCTCATAACCAGACAAGAATTCACCGCCGAAGAAAGTATGTGACCGTAGACATGAATGCACACCGTGTCCGTCTTCAACTTGACACAGCATCTGATATCACCCTAATCAGCCCAAAAACTTGGGATAAAATTGGGAGATCCACAGTTCACCGAACGAAGCAACTAGCGCACAGCGCATCTGGAGGTAAGCTTAATATTGTTGGGGAAATAACGTGCAATGTTTCAAAAATTGAGGCAACAACGAGTGCAACTGTTTATTTAACGAAGAACCCGGAACTCGATTTATTGGGGTTGGATCTAATAGATGCATTAAAATTAGCAGATCATCCTCTCAACAATATCTGCAGCCAAGTCAGAATCAATAACCCTTTAGAGTCAAGTCAGAGAAATGCCATTATAAAAAGGCATCATCACGTGTTTTCAGGAGGGTTGGGCTAACGCACGAAAGCAAAAGCACTACTGACTCTCAAGTCAACATCTATTCCTGTTTTTCTACCAAAAAGACCTGTACCTTATGCTTCTCTCCCAGTAGTTGAACAGGAACTAGAACGGCTTCCGATATAATCGGTTACCTTTTGGAGTCAAAACGGCCCCCTCCATATTTCAACAGGTGATGGATACTATGCTACATGATCTCCCTGGTGTTGCAGCTTATCTGAATGACATATTAATTATGGGCATTGACAGAATAGACCTAGAAAAGAAGCTCGACCGGGTGCTATCGAGAATAGCTGAATATGGATTCCGGCTTCGTGAAGAAAAATGTGACTTTTGCATGCAGAGTGTACGCTACCTCGGTTTTATCATTGATAAGGACGGGAGAAAACCAGATCCAGAGAACACTCAAGCTTTGAAAGCAATGCCGAGACCGACAGATGTTCCCACACTTCGATCCTTTTTGGGGCCAGTGAGTCATTATGGAGCTTTTATCCCTGACCTTCATCGTTTACGTGCCCCATTAAATAGTCTTTTAACAAAGAACGCAAAGTGGTGCTGGTCTAAAAGTTGTCAAACTGCTTTCGAGAAGATCAAGAAACTGCTACTATCGGATCTGTCGTTGACACACTATGACCCATCCCTACCTATTGTAGTGGCATCAGATGCTTCAAACTACGACATTGAAGCAAGCATTTCGCATATCATGCCTGATGGATTAGAGAAAGCAATCTCACACGCAGCAAGGTCTTTAACTACAACAGAACGTAACTATAGTCAGATCGAAAAGGAAGAATTGTCAATTATTTTTGCGGTAAGAAAATTTCATAAGATGATATTTGGACGCCGGTTCACGCTCTTAACGGACCACAAACCGCTGCTAGCCATATTTGGGTCAAAGAAAGGAATCCCGGTCTATACTGCAAACAGACTGCAACGATGGGGAACAACATTATCGGGTTACGACTTCAAAATTAAATAACAACCTACTACTGCTTTCGGACAAGTTGATGCTTTTTCTAGGCCCATTGGTTCCCAAGCGGATCACGAAGAAGATACTTTGGTGGCAGCGATTGAGACAGAGATAGAAGTACATCGAGTTTTGGAAGACGCAGTAGATGGTCTACCGGTTACATTCGAAGCTTTTAAAGAAGCTACAAGAAATGTCAAAATACTACAAGAAGTTAAGGGTTATCTCCTCTCAAAGTGGCCGAATCGTCGTTTACAAGGAGAACTGCAACAATATTTCCGCCGGCGCGATTCACTCATGATTGTGGATTCATGCATTATGTTTGGTGACCGGATTATTATCCCGGAATTATTGCGACATAAAATCCTCAAGCAATTTCACAGTGGTCACCCTGGGATAAACAAGATGAAGTCATTGGCGCGCAGTTACGCCTACTGGCCTTCGATGGATAAAGATATCGAAAACAAATGCCGAAACTGCTCTTCTTGTTTACAAGCTGCAATAAACCCTTCGAAATGTGAACCTCAACCATGGCAAAAACCTACTGGACCTTGGGAGAGAATTCATGCAGATTTTGCTGGTCCAATCCATGGAAAAATGTTTCTAATTATCGAAGATGCATTTACTAAGTGGCCAGAAGTATATACCATGCCAAATTGTACAACGTCAGAAACAATCCACAAGTTGTCTACCTTATTTAGCTGCTTCGGAGTTCCAGAGATCGTAGTAACTGATAATGGCTCGCAATTCATTGCAGAATCGTTTAAGTATTTCTGTAGCGCAAATGAAATAACTCATCTTCGTTCTCCGCCCTATCATCCGCAATCGAACGGACAAGCAGAACGCTTTGTGGACACCTTTAAACGAGCACTACTGAAAGGGGGAGGCGAAGGGACAACGGGACAGGTAATCACAACATTTTTGACAACCTACAGAGCCACTCCGAACCCAAATGTTCCAGACGGTAAGTCTCCTGCCGAAGCCATGTTTGGAAGGCGTATTCGAACCGTTTTCAACGCCATGTTGCCATCGAAATTAGTGTACGGACACAATCAAAATCCAAATATGCGGAACTTTATTGTCGGCGACGAAGTTTTCATTAAACCCTACACCGGAAAGAACCGATGGGAGCCGGGAAAAATTGTACAAAAATTTGGAAAAGTTCTGTGCAGAGTCCGAGGAACTTTTGGAACATGTATACGGCATATGAATCAAATCCATAAGGACAAAAGAACGATGCAGACTCGAAATAACCGGCTAAATTTCCCGTTATAGTTAATCTTGGACGTACCAACGATACATATGCCCAAGGACACTGAAGGGAAGACTCGGATAAGGAAGACGACAAGAATAATGAGACGCCGCTGCAACCCAGTTGTCAAGCTACAAATAGATCCTAGAAAGAATTCTTATTCGGGGGAGGTGTTGGGATGGCCACCGAGTAGCCACCCACGTACATAGTCGATTGACTAAGTTATCGATTAACTTATCGATCAGACGTTAAATATTTGAATAGCAGTCAATTGACTAACTTATTGATGAATGTTTAAAAATTTAAATGACAACATTGATTATATATAATTTTGTATAAATACGCATGTTTTATTGTATATTTTGATTCTTGTCAATAATTGCTCACAATGTCTTTCGTCTTCTTACTTGCGAGCGGTTGGAGGTTATAACGTTCAAGTGTCATCCGTTATAGAGTCTTTTCGTGCGTATTCGAGTAGAGAACTTAACAGCCTTAAAGACAAGTGCTAATTGTCTTGAGACTTAAGACCAAGATAACCAATAACTTACTGTCTGGAACCATTTAACATTAAAATATAGATAATATTAAAAAATAGAATAAAATTTAGTTGACATTGTATGAATGTCAGTTTAAAAAAATGAATATTCAAGGTTAGAAAATGAAGGTGACAGGCCAATCAATACTTTTTTTCTATTTCAGTTAGTTACAACATTAGCACTT